CACATCGTTTATATTTTGGAAGAATTTAGTGCAGGAACCATGTCTGTCATTGAAGTTGAAGCTGAAACCTTAATTGTTCTATATTAATTGTTTGCCACGAAGATATTCTTTTATGTTGCTTTGGTTATTCAACATTTTTCTTGACTTTCTTCTTCGAAACACTGCTGACCCTGACGAAAACAAAAGCCTCATACTAGACGGAAGGCACACTTCAAGAACTTCGGCTAGATGTCCTCATGGCCTCGAATACGCAGATGATATTGCCTTCGTCAGTAGTACAAGAAGTGGGCTCTGCAACACGATTGCGAAAGACGGTCACTTTCTCAACTCTCCGGGAGTGAAACATTATGAGAAACTCTTCCAACACAGCTGATTTACAGATGGCATAGGGAGGCAGAGTCATTCAGAAGGTTAAGCAGTTGAAGTATCTACCATTTATTCAATTCCGTTACTTCAGTGATTTCACTATTCAGCAGAATTAAATAGGAAGATTGCCCTAGTCTCGAGTGCTTTTGGAAAACTGTCGAAAACTTGTGCAGCAAAAGGCATCATTCTTCCAGCGGGAACCCGCCTGTATCTCGTCTATGTCTAGTCAGCACTAATATGTGGTAATGAGACAGAGGTTCTAACGAAGGAGTAAGAACAACGGTTGAATTGCTTATAGCAGCGTTGGCTTCGACGAGTGCTGGTCAACGATGGAATGTCGTTCTTCTTCCACTTTCACGAATGGGCCAATTTAGCGCCCTTCTTTTCATCATGTTGAAGGCGCGGTGTTGATCTCCATTTACACGCCATCAGCCAAAACTGTCTTATTTTTTTAATGGCAAAGTGTATGGCCATGTGCACGCATAGCCTCCTGTTTCCTTCCCACATTTATCAACCTTGGAAGGAAAAATGGCGAATCACCCTGACCGTGACTCGAACTCATAACTTCTCCGTTCTGAGTTCGACGTCCTTCCAACTGAGCAACTCTGGTCTGGACATCTGTGGTAAATTTTTTGCTCAACGGAGTTTATGTATGAGAGAAAGGTTTCCTCTGATTTCGAAGGAGAATAACAGTTAAATGACAGAACCATGTAAGGAATGGATCCATTCTTTTCCAGGTACAAATGACATCAAAATACCTGCAGATTAAGAAAAGGAGTTTGACCCTGTTAGAAGGACTGCTTGACCATACATTATTCGCTTCTGCTCTTGAACTTTTA